CGAGATATATTAAGCTAGAAAAGAGATAAAATATTTAAGGGTAAAACAACACAATCTGCTACCACGAAAGATGGAAACACTACAAATGGGGAGTCAACTCAAAATATAGGCACAACTTCTGCCACGAATCCAAATACAAAGTCTTCGGAAACTACGAATAATCAGAACACGACAAAGGATAAAGTAAACACAAGAAAAGTCCTCACAATAACCCCAAAGACTAATGTGGCTACAGGAATGGCTTCAGGAACTATTATTCTAATCATTCTTGGAATTTTAATATTGTAAGTTCAAATGGGTGAAGGACAATATTAAATTAAATTAATAAACTTTCAGTGTTACAATAATCATCGGCCTCTTAATATGGTTCTTTGTATTCCATGGCAAAGATAAAAAGGAGGATAAGAAAGATGAAGAAGCTCCTCCTCCATTAAATGCTACAAAAAGTAATCAGGGCTCTACCATTGGAGAGAAAGAAGATCATTCGAAAGAGGATTCGAAAGAGGATTCTATTGTCGATAAAACGCAAAGTGACCCTACTGAAGAGAGAAATGATCCATCTACAGTTGTTGAAACGCAAATTGACCATGCTGAATCGTTGAATAATCCATCCACTGTTGTTGGTACACAACTAGATTTAGATGTCAAAGCTGGTGCTGAAGTTCCCGATAGTATTGAGTATGATTAGAAGGATGTAAAGGAATAAATATATTTTTTGATAGAAGACTTTTTTGTGATATTATTAGATTTTGTATTTGTATTTTTCAATATTGAAATTTTTTGTTAGTAAACCCAAAATTATTAAAATAGTCAACATATTTTTTGTTCATATTTGTGAACATTTTTATTCACATTTCCTAAGGGATTATTTAAAATCGAAGCATGTATTTTACAAAGGATTTAATTTAAGGTCTAAATTATGCTTAAATTTGAAAAATAATGATATGTATGTATGTAAGAAAAAGTCCAGAATAAGTAAAATCATAAAACGTTTTTTTTAATAAATTTTAGAAAATTATCTTGATATTCGGGAAAATTCAATTCTAAAATGTTCGACCGATAAACTTTTCTTTAATTTCATTTTTATTGATGATTTGAATCGATGCTAATGTGGGATAAAATAAAACAATGTTTAGGGATTAAATATTTTCTTCAAAAATTTGCGGGTGCTTAAACTCTCTTTACGGAGTGTACTTGACATAAAACGATAAGTCTTAAGAAAATAATTAAAATGTTAAATTTGACCCAAAAAGGTTACAAATGGTTTTAGGTCTGTAAGGTAGAGAAAGTTTATAGTATGTTCTGCAACTCAAAGACTATGAGAGATCATACAGTACAACTGATTTTTTAACCCTAAAAATTTATATAAAATCATTAGCATATCCTTTCTTAAGCTTGGTAAAATATTTGAATGTTTTTACGAAAAGCTGGAAAAGTACAAAAATTTCATTGAATTTTAATTATTTATAATTTCGTTGTAGATTAATCAAACTCCACAAGACTGAGTATATAAAAGCTCGATACTCAATAAACTTGCCCATTATTAAATCCAATCCTTAAATCATTCAACGTTCTTTCTTCTGAATCAACAACCTGAATTCGGTCGGGATGCGAATTTTCACTTCAACCACTCTTGGAATGTTGTCTGCCTCCTCCATCATTCGGTGCAGTTCAATTCTTTTGGTTTTCGGATTTGTTGTTCAATGTGAAGAAGTCGGACTTGGCAAGCATGTGTTGGTTAACGAGACAATTATTGAGCTCAAGAACAATACGAGGATTGCCGAAAACGACACGGATCTTGAACAATACAGGAAGCTGGATGGCGCTTGTGATGTCATTTTCGATGACGATGGAAATATGTAAATATTTTTACATTAATTTATTTAAATCCCCTCATTTAACAGCATTCTTTGGTACTCCAAAAATTCCAACACGACTGAGTTTGGCTGTTCTGTTGATTTGGTTACAACGAAAGAAGAGCAAATCATAATGGAATTTGGAATCGAACACTCTGGTAATTTATCCGATTGTTTCATGGAACAGGCAAATGCTGTCCCAGACAATATGTATGTACATATATAACTATTCAAAATATAAAAGATTTATTTAGGATATCGTTTGCCTACAGCATGAAAGTGAGTGAATTCGACGAACTCAAAGATGGTCCCGAATTTGGTAATAGCAGTGATTGTAGTGATAAAATAACATGCGAGAGGCTTGAGAGTGATTGTCTGAAATCAACAACGTTTTACTCTGCTGGATGGGTGTTCAAAAATTCAGAATATCTATACTTTTTTATGCCCGGTAGCAAACTACATATTTAACACGTTTTATACATATATTTTAAAATTTAGTTGGGTATCCAAATTATTATTACATTGCCAGACAGAGTGTATCCCCATACAAGCTTATGATTAAAGGGCTAGAATACCGATTCATTTCAGATGAGGATGTATTTTATTTTTCCGATTCAGAGTGCTACAAGAAGGAAAAACATCTCAAAGCCGTAAAGTGGGAGATTGTGGACAATAATTACACCAACAACACCAACAATCAAAACTTCACCCATCTCTTCACTTTCCATATTATGCCAATAAAAGCGATGCGTCAAAGTATGCAGAATTATTGGGCAAGTTGTAAGAACAATGGGACGAAACCAGGATGTGATAAGGACGCAACATTGTTGAAATGTGACAAGATGTTCATTCGATTTGTAAGGAAATTTCCTCTTTTCTCATAAAATAAAGATGTTTTAAGGACAAAGAACACTTCAGAATTCTTGTTCCGGATGTTCCTACGATAGAAAAAGGCAATTCAACAGATGGCAACGAAACTTTGGATGTTTCAACAACACAATCTCCAAAAATCGTCACTACAGAAGAGGTAGACACTACTAGTGATGAAGTAGAAGTTACAAGGATTCCAACTGCTACAGAGTCTTCAGGAATGCCTAAAATTATCATTGTTGTGATTATTTGTGGCGTTATAGTTTTGTGAGTTTTCTCGGATAAAATTAGCATTTATTTTAAATTTTCAGGTGTTTGACAAGTTTTGTTTGCGTTCTGATTTGTATTCTGTTTCGAGGAGAAAAAGAAGAAGAGAAAGAAAATGAAGGCACTAAATACAGTCAGGGCACTAATGTACGTTCAACTCAATCAACTACAAATAAACCTACAAAGGACTCCAATGTTGACGTTGAAATGCCTTCCCATGTATCTGAAAAAGAACAGAAAGGAGAAGAAAATGATTTTAATGATGCTTCTACAGTCGTCGAAACTCAATATCAAGACTTTAACGATGTTAACTCTGTTGTGGCTACACAAATGGAACAACCGGAAGAAGCTTCTAACCTCAAAACTTGTATTGCACTTCCTGATACTTCTGTTGGTACGAAAACTTGTGTTGGAGTTCCTGATAGTTTTCCTGACACAAAAACTTGTATTGAAGTAAAGCACGACGACGATTTTTCTGTAAATTCTGAAAAGATTGTCCCTGATGCTTTGATTAGCAAAAATACTGTTTATGAAGGGCTGGTTGTTAAAGAAGATCCGCTTATTCATAATACACAGTCTGACGTTGAAATTACTGATAGCGTTAATGAAGGGTAATAAAAAAGTGGAAGAATAATATATAAATTAGTAGATATATTTTTGTTGTTATTATTTTTTGTTGATATTGTTGTTAAGTCGTATTTTATTTAAGCTAGATTACGTAAATAAATTTTGAAATTTCTAATTTTGTCATTTCTCTCTTTTCTTCCTCATTTTGACTTTATTAGTTTATGGATTCAATCAGTCATAAAATCTTGATTTGTCTCAATTCCTAAGTGACTAGAATTAATATATGTACAAGAATTTATGTAATATAAATATGATTAAAGCAAAAATCTTTTTAGGTTAATCTAAAATTTCTGTGTCTAATTTTAAAATTGCAAATTTTTGCCTTAAACTTTGTCTTTCGGCCTCAGAGAATTAATGAAAATTTACCTATTTAACAGTATTCGGCGCCGTTCGGCACTACCGCATGACACAGGCGGTAATCCATTTATTTCACCAAATCCGTTACTCGTCAATACACGTACTTTTTGTTACTACATACTGATATTGCATTGAAAAAATTCATTTATCAAACAATACAATCGGAGAGTGTGCGAACGATTTTGACATTTGTGACAAAATTTTTCATTGACTGGGTTTTTTAAAATAATGATGCGCCTTTTTCTAATAGTGTTATTCTTGTAGTTCTTTGAGAAATCCAAAAACTGACGAGAATTACTAGGCAGAAAATGTTCCTAATTGTTTTATGTATCCTTCAAATAAATACATAAAATATTACATTATCATACTACATTCAATTCTGTATTAATCGAACACCCTAAACATACTATAAAAGCTAAATATTCTACCAAATCATTCTCCAATTACTACATAGATCAACGTTCTTTTCTTCTTAATCAACGTCAATTCAGTCGGGATTCGAGTTTTCATTTTAAATACACTTCAAATGGTCTCTGCCTCCTCCATCGTTCGGTGCATTTCAATTCTTTTGGTTTTCGGATTTGTTGTTCAATGTGAAGAAGTCGGGCTAGGCAAGCATGTGTTGGTTAACGAGACAATTATTGAGCTCAAAAACAATACGAGGATTGCCGAAAACGACACGGATCTTGAACAATACAGGAAGCTGGAGGGCGCTTGTGATGTCACTTTGGACAATGAGGGAAATATGTAAATATTTTTACATTAATTTATTTAAATCCCCTCATTTAACAGCATTCTTTCGTACTCCAAAAATTCCAGCACGACTGAGTTTGGCTGTTCTGTTGATTTGGTTACAAAGAATGAAGGTCAAATCTTATTGGAATTCGGTATCTCACACTCTGGTAATCTATCCGAATGTATCACGCGGGATACAAATACTGCGTTCCCAAATAATATGTATAATATACCTAACTTTATTAAAATATAAAATTTATTTAATTCAGAATATCGTTTTCCTACAGCATGAATGGAAGTGAATTCGAAGAACTCAAAAATGGTCCTAAAACAGGGGATAACAGTGACTGTAGTAATAAGGATAACTGCATTGCTCAAAGAGGCGTTTGCAGGAATTCGACAGCCTTCTATTCTGTTAGATGGATTCCAAGATTAGATCCATTATTTTCAACTGGAAGCTTTACCTACTTTTTACAACCAGGTAAAGAAATTCTATTAACGTTTTATTTTTTTATAATTTAGTTGGTGATGTAAATGGTATACATGCTGTAGCTAGTATGAACGAGACATTCAAACTTCTGATTAAAGAAATAGAATTGCGCTTTCCTGTAGTGGATAAACGGCTAGAATATATTTGCTACAAGAAAGTTAAACTTCAAAAGGCAGAAGAATGGCAGATTGTGGACGATAATTACATCAAGGATACCAACCATCAAAATTTCACCCATCTCTTCACTTTCCATATTATGCCAGTAAAGGCGATGCGTCAAAGCTTCCAGGATATTTATGGAAATTGTGATAAGCATCCAGAAAATCCGGGTTGTGATAAGGATGCAAGCATGCAGAAATGTGACAGAATATTCATTCGATTCGTAAGCAAGATTTTATTCATTTCCCCATACAAAATATATTTTAGGACAAAGAATACTTCAGAATGCTTGTTCCTGTGCAAACTGTAAGTTTAAGATATTTAAGTTTAGAGATTAAGAATTTAAATATTTAAGAGTACAACGACTCAATCTACGAAAGGAGAAAGCACTACAGGGGAAGAAACAGATGATTATGAAGTGACTACAAGAAGGGGCTTCACAAAATATCCAAAGACTTCAGAATTGGGAACGTTTGCTATTGTTTTAATTACTCTTGGAATTTTGATATGGTATGTAGGTTAAAATTGGGAGGATTAAAGAGCAATAATAATTTAAATAATTTTCAGTATTACAATATTCATCGGCATTCTAATATTCTTCGTGTTTTGTGTGTTCTGTGGCAAGGATGAAAAGAAAAATAAGCCAAATGAAGAAGAACAGTCTCCTTATTCACCTATTACAGAAACTAATAAAGACTTTGCTATTGGAGAGAAAGGAGTTCATTCAAAGGGAGATTCGAAGAATTCAAAGGGAGAGTCTTCTACAGTTGTTGAAACACAAATTGACCCTACAGAATCGTTGAATAATCCATCTACTGTTGTTGGTACACAATTAGATTTTGATGTTAAAGCTGGTGCTGAAGTTCCCGATAGTATTATGTATTAGAAGGATGTAAAGGAATAAATATATTTTTTGATAGAAGACTTTTTTGTGATATTAGTGGATTTTGTATCAATTATTCTAGGTGTTATTAAAGTATGCTTTTTATTATTTCAATGTGAATCTGTTTCTTTTTTTATTTTATTTACCGTATTATCTCTAATAGAATGGCCGTCTCCATTTGAATGTCCCCTCCATTCGAATGGCCTCCTCTGATTTTTCAATATAAAAAATATTCAATCCCTGGTATCCAAAGCCGAAAAAAGACCATATATCCGAAAATTTTGTTTTCTTTAAGCGGTTCCGATTCGGACTCATTGAAAAATACAATGGCCCCCTCTATTTGAATGGCCCCCTCTAATAGAATGCCCCCTGGAGGGTGATTGAAAAATAGAATGGCCGGCCGGTATCTGAGAAATAAACTAAAGTACCTAATTTATTTTCGATTTTAAAGCTAAAATGGAAAAAATGTCCAATTTATTTTTATATATAAAGTCCTCGAATAATAAATTTCACTTCGTTTAATATAATCATACATATCCCTAACACAACCATTTAATCACCAATCCTTTTTTCACATTTTTCTGCTTTTCTGGAAGGATATCCAGGTCAGCTCTTTTGAAAGTTGCGCGAATATTTATATAATTTTATGGAAAGAAAAAAAAGAAAATTTTAAAAATTAGGTCAATCACTCTTCTTGATGAAAATGAGGAGAAGATGTGCGAAGCTTTTTCCACAAAACAAAAGATTTTTGTTTCTTATTCTCGATTGTATGTAAGCTTGTTAAATGATTTATGCCGATAGATATTTAGAAATATTAAATAATTTTTAAAAGAAAAGGTGAGAAAGACAAAAAAAAATTTTTAATCTTTAGCTTTTTCAAAGAATTTAAATCTTCTTCGCCTTTAAAAATTAAAAATAATTTCTATTTGTTTCTGAATTTTTTAAACTTTTTTTCATATGCCTAATTTATTTTTTAAACTCGGTGTCCGGACTTACAGAAAAAATATAAATACCGTATTTACTCGATTAATTCCCCTGGGGAATTATTTTTTCAACCCATCCGTGGCATGGGGAATTATTCGAGGGTGGGGAATACGGTAAATAAAAATATCTGAACTTTTTTTACAACATGTACGAAAGATAAACAATTTAGAGATTATTAGAGCTGCAATAAAATAACACAAAAAGGGCAAAATTGGCAAAGGCGAAGTACTGAAAACTCTATAATAACTTTGTTCTTTAGTTCCTTTAATTTCTTTATATCGAGATTCGTCTATTTTAAAAAGAATAAACTTAGTTAAAAATCAAGTTATGTTTGATTTTTTTAAATTTTAGTCTTAAAATATGTAGTAAAAGCGATCACTCTCACAAAAAATTCCTCCTTTCAATCCGGTTATTTTATTTTTTTTGAAAAAATTTTTTGGAACAAATAGATATGTAGAAATGATCAGCAAACATTTTTTTTAATATTATTGTAAATTTATTTAAAAAATCCCCTACTATTTACACAAATATATCCCCATCCAAAAACGGCGTTTCTCTTTCCTCCTCTTTTTTATTTTATCCTCCTCTCACTTTTCCGTTTTCATTTTTATTTTTGTATTTCCTCTCAAAAATTTATTTTTAGTCAATCGCCAACGGCTATTTATATATTTGTGGATTACTTGTCCTCTTTTTTATCCATCAATTCAATTCCATCCATATCCTATTCCCGCATTCTCGTCAACAAAATAGTTTTTCGACTGTTCAATGCTTTAAGGATATATTAGAGAAAATAAATTGAGAAAATTCGATTTTCACTTTATTTTTAAATAAAAATATTTTATTTTGGAATTTAATCAATTAAAAATTTGGCTTTCAAAATTAATCGGTTTCCAATTTAAATTTATATTAATTATAGCTTTTTATTACATGTGTATAGTCGAAACTTAATTTATTATTAGGGTATACCTAAATTTTAATTAAATTTTTTTAAATTTATTATATGGATAAGCCTAAACTTAAAAAATTTGATCACAATATTCAATGAATTTATTCTCTATTAAAAACCCTCCATTTTTATCAGGGGTGTGCCTTTCGCCAAAATTTCGCCTTCTTTGGACTTTCGCCTTTTTAAAATTTGCTTCGGCACATCTCTGGTATGATACAAAATATATGGTTTTAAGCTATTATTAAACGATTTTGGGTGAAGCTCTCGCTATCGGATACACTTGATTTTAGGTACAAATTTTTCAATCCCATTATAAAATTCAAGGAAAATCAAATAAATTAGGATTTAGAAACATTGTTTTCCTTTTTATTAAAATTTTCCGTCGTTTATACATATCATTTTTCTTTGCACAATTGTAACACAATCTCTTAAAAAAATTTTTATTTTAACCGAATTTGATAAATTTATTAAGTATTTTATCCATTAAATCTCATTTATTTAGACAAATGTCATTATTAATTAATAAACAAACAGCTACAAATTGGAGGACATCAAGAAGAGAAAAGAGAATAATTTCTCTTAGAATAATTATTCCATTTATTATTTCTATGAATATTTTTATAAAACAAATAAAAGCCCAACACGAATTATTTAACAGTCAAAATTTTGCCCCAAAACCAACAATAGCTCCAGATTTGGCGAAATATTTTGAATTAGATGGGCATGCTAGGGAATTGGTAGATACGTTGATTGCGCCTAGGCCGGGAGGATATTTTCCTGAAAAAACATATGAGGTATTTGGATATTTTAATTAGAAAAACTCTGAGGGGTTTAAACAACTATCCTATAAAGATTCAAACTTGATTTGAACATGAAAGATTGGGAAAAATTGGAGCATCTTTTAATAACTTAACTGATCATAAGAGAATGTTAACACGATTTCTTAAACATTAAATATATCAAATAAATTTCCCCCATGTCCTTTCTTTAATATTTTCGTACTATTTATTTTTGGCCATAGAAAGAAGGGATTTTCATATTAATCTGCTTTATCAAATATTATTTTAATATTAATATAAAGATTTCCAACCCACGCCCTCCACCAGCAACACCAACAGAAACACCCGACCAATTACAACAAATTGGTAAAGCTGTAGAACAGTTTTTATCAGGAGGTCAACCAAATGGTAACGATATCCAATTGCCTTCTGGCTTCAACCAGGGATTTTCTTTTAATGGTGGAGCCAATAAAAACAACCTTGCTTTTCAAGAGAATTCGAATCCTGTAGTAAGATTAATTTTTTTTAATTTTGGAACATAAGTATTAAAATCTACCCTCATTTTAAATATTTCCAATACTTTTAAAAGCCATTTGCGGATTATGTATCATTCACAATCTAACTTGCAAAGAAGACGTTGATTGTTAATAAGTTTGCCCAAAAATTAATAAACTCCTTAACAACTGATTAAACAAATGGAAAAGTTAATCCATTATAGCATTTAATTTTTAGCATGTTGACGATCACCCTCGTCAATCACCCCAAAAACCATCCGATGATGATCATCTTCAATCAGCAAAACACTCAACAGATTCGGATTCTTCTTCACTTCCATTACCTCAAACTTCTCCATCTTCAATTGCTGGAATTCCAAATGATTTTCCAAAATTGCCAAAGTTCCCTATGAGCGCCCTCCCAGCAGAAATCAGAAGGCAACAGCCTCAAACATTGAGACAGCCATTAAATGACTTGCCCAGATTTGCTTCGAAGCCTGAGGTGAATTCTTAAAATAAATGAGATAATCTTATAATTTAAGATCCCTGATGGAGGACTTGGACTAGCTGCTTCATTAGACCCAATTCGCCCAAACTCTGTCTCTGCTTCAGAACCACGTTCTTCTTTCCTCACGTCGAGTGCTTCAGGAGATTCATACGGTGACTCTTCTGCCGATTCCATTGATGAGCCTGCGCCCGGAGGGCTTATCGGCACAATAATGGATTTGTTTGGATTAAACAAAGATGGACGACCTCAGACAGATGCGAGTGGTATTGGAAGAGCTGTAGGATCTTTACTTGGTGGTAGCAATTCTCCTTTGCCTGGAAAACAAGTGATAAGCAATGTTTTATACAAAGCCTTAACTTCTGGTTCTGTCCAATCTCCAGCAAACAACGATTCAACCCCAGCTAATGCCTCAGCTGCTCTTTCAAGTCTTTCCTCAATGCTACCAGCAAACAGTCCATTAGCAGCAGCAGCCGCAGCCCTTTTCTCCTCTCCTGAACTTAATACTTCTACACCCTTAACTTTAACTCAAGCACAGCAAGAAGCAATTGGTGAAAATTTAGAAATGATTCAGAATTTAATTGTGCAGCCAAGCAGCCCTTTATGTTCTCCGAAACCAGTTGTTGTTCAAGATTTCCTGTTGGACGCATTAATGGGGCAGTGGTATCAGGTGGATTAATTGCTTAAAAATAAAATTAATCAAAAATAAATTTAAAATAAATTTAGTCCATTATTTGAATAATTTAACTCAATCATAATCAGCCTCTTATCTAGACACACCTTTGACCTGAATTCAGGATTTTCCAAGTCGCTATAAGTTAGCTTGTTTATTTTAAATGTAGTTGTTCACTTCTGTATTCTTAATAAAATGAACGATAATTAGATTAGCTTATTTAGATTACCTACGTCACTAAAATAGTCCCCTTTTACAGTATCGAAAAACAATCACATTTTGAATTTTAATGAAGATACTTTAGCTAGCTAAAAACTTATTTAACCAAATTTCTTTATTTGATATCCATTTCCCATAGAATAGGTTGTGTACAGTCCATTAGTAGCTCAAAGTGGTTGTTCTGTTGTATCTTATCGAAAAATATCCGATGTTAATGGAGGCGGGATTGGGTCGATTTTTGAAGTTTTCGAGGTACTTTCTCTCCAAAATTTTATCTAAATTTTATATTTAAAAGTATTCAACTGATGGTACCCCTTACAGTAAACCAAAAATTAATTCTGGATATGGCATACTTAAACAACAAGGGGAATTAATTTTTAGAACAACTGCCCACCAAGAGGATGTAGACAGTTAGTGGATTTTTGAAAATGATTTTTGTAAAATAATTTTGTAGTTCATGTAATTTTTGTTGGACCTTTAAATGCAAAGGGGCAATATGAATTTGTTGTTCTTTCGAGTAATTGTAATTATCCACTTTATGTATTTGCAAGGGAACCTGTTGAATATAAACAAGCAAGTTTTTTTTGTTTTTCGATAAGAATAGTTAACTCCAAGGAATGACTGATAAATAATGGTGTAACCGATTTGTCTGTAGTTGAGATTTTGTGGGGGAATCTAATAAGTAGAGTTCAGCGGTATCGGGGTTTAGAGAAAACTGGGATCGGGATTTTGGAATGGTGATACCGATCCCGACACGGGATCGGGATTGGCCGAATTCTGGATCGGAATTATTAAAAACCTGGATCGGGATTTATCTTTCGGTCTCGGGATCAGAAAAATCGAGATAAAAAAACTCCGGGATAATCCCGCCTGATCCCACTGGGATCCATCCCGCTGAAGTCTACTATTAAGATGAATCCAAAAATTTTTCTAAATTTTAGCGCTACGAGACAGCGGTTATGCAAATGCTTGAACAGAAGGGCGTAATTAATGGTTTTAGGTATTTTTTTTTATAAAAAATCCTTATTGTCTAAAATTTTGAAAAATAATTTCAGTAAATTACTCAATACAGTAACCCCTGTCGATGCAAGTACTTGTATGTTTCCACCCAATCTTTTTGCACATGCTGGAAGTGGATTTGGATTATCTAATTAGAATACCTAAGTAGGGTTGGGGTTTTCGGGCCAAAATTCAATGCCCGACTCGATCTTTCGGACCGGGCCGGATCGGTCCCCCAACCCTATACCTAAGTTTTACTTAAAGCTCTCTATCTTTATTTAAGACAATTTTAATAATTTTCAGAAAAGTGGTTATAAAATTTATAAATCCTCATAAAACTCATTAAATGAGAGAGAGAGCTTTATATTATTGTTGGTTTTGAATATAAAATAATGTATAAATCCAATAGCTATCAATTATATAATTTAAAATATATGAAAATATTTTTTATGCATATCTCATTTACTAGTTTACATAAATAATTTTAATTAAACAATTTCAAAATGTTTAGAGAAAATAAAAAAATAAATAAATTTTAATTAAAATAATTTGACGAATTGATTAAGGTTTTTAATCAAAGACTTCAAAAAATATTTTAGACCCCTTAGGGTTTTGTTTAAAATTCTTGACCTATGCTCATTCTAAATCCCTTAAAATTTGCTACAAGAAAGCAAAAATGCCCAAAAAATATTTTGATAAGATCAAGTTTTACATTTTGTGTCAACAAAAAACGCTTAATTGCCCCATAAAATTTAAAAACGCTTCAGAAGATAAACGGTTATATAGGTATCTTTTATTAGATTTTTTTTCTGAAAATAATTGTAGCAAATTTTAAGATATTAAAAATTTAGTGGTTCTCTAATCAGTACTCAAAGCAGAGGAAAATATTTGTTAATGGATACTAAAATGTAAAAACGTTTTTACCTTTTTTCAGAAAAGATAGTTAGATTTCATAATAGTCAATAAATAAATTATTTTCATTTTTCATTCATATGATAATCAGGAGTTTTCTAAATTAAATTTTGTTTTTAATGTGAATAAACAAATTTAATAAATTTTAGCAAAAAATAAAATTTAAATTTTAGCAAAACTTGCCATTTATTTACAAAAATAGAAAATAAAAGAAACAAAGTATAAAATAGAAATAAAAAAAATATTTTTATAGAAAATCCAAATTTGGTTTTTTATATGAATATATACAAAAATAAATTTTTTAGAGGGTTGCTAAAATTTTTTTTAAAAACAAAAATAGAAAATAAACGCTTTAAACTTAACTTTTACCTCTAAAATACCCAGTTGTTTAAATATTTTAGATAAGATTTGAAGTAAAGGATTCTTTGATGTTTATTTGGAAATCCTTAAAGGGAAAAGTGCAGATTAGACAATATAAATACAGTTAGAGTGAGTTAAGCATTAAATCATTTTAATTAATTTAATTTTTATTTTAAAATATTTTTTAAAAACATTTATTATCCTCAAACCTCGAATTTACATACCCAAAGGTATTTAACCCTCAATTTAAATCCATTATTTCCACCTTTACCCCTAAATATCAATAATTATAGGCTCTAAAAAGGATTGCTTTTAGGCTTCATAAGGGATTGTTGCAGGCCTCATTTTTACTTATAAAACAGAGATTATAACTAAATTAATTTTAAAAAATATTTTTTCTATAATAAATATGTATTTAAAATTAAAATTAATTAATAATTTAGGAATTTCAATTAAAAAAGAATGTTTTCTTCTTCAACCAAAATTTGTTTATTTTTTCTTTCAATTTTTGTATTATTCGAATTAAACAATGCTTGTGCTGGATATGGTGCTACATGTAGTGGAAAAGGACAGGGTAATTGTTGTGGTGGAACTTGCTATAATAGAAAATGTTGTATTGCTAGTGGAGGTACATGTACCGGCAATGCTAATAAATGTTGCCCAGGTACAGGTTGTCAGCCACCTGGAGAAGTTGGGCACGAATACAGATGTATGTGAGTAATTAAATAAGAAAGAAGGATGTTTGTGAGCTGAGGATGCTACTATAGTATTTTCCAAACGAAAAACGTTTTTAATCTTTCCTTTCTTGATTTGGCTGTTAAATTCTCCTTTCTTTAAACTTTTATCTTTAAAAATGTATTCGATTCAAAAATTTTGTTGGATAAAACAACGGGATATAACGTGAATGAATGATAATAAAATAATTTTCTAACAACTATACCGTATATCCTTTGATAACTACCCTAGGTAATTATTGTTTCGACCTTCCGCTGGAGGGAGTAATTAATAGAAGGATAATTATTTGAGGGAGGGCAATTAATACAGTTTATACGGTGTATAACATAAGAAACAAAAATTGATGATATAAAAGCGCAATAATCTTCAACAAAACATTTTCGATGTCCATCATGTGTTCCTTGATAAATCTGTTAATCTCGTCCCTATTGTTTTCAACAACAACACTGCTTCTTCTCTCTGCTTCGGATTGGCCAGGCAATATTGTTGGGCATGGCAAACATTTTCTGTGCAATGACAAAATTGTTCAATTAAATGGCAACATGTTTATAGCTAATAAAGAGGTGGACTTGGATAGATATAGAGGAGGTAATGAGGCTTGTGATGTTGAGATTGCTGAGAATGGAGATATGTGAGTTTTGCTTAGGATTAGATCTGAGTTGGGAATTAATCGTGATTAGAGATTCATATTTCAGAAAATCTCAAAGAAGATAATCTAGAGATTTTTGAATGTTATCTCGATTAAATCTCCATTTTCGATCATTTTTCTAATAAAATTTTCATTTCTCCCTCTTTTGCAGAATTATCTGGTACAGGAAGGACACTGTAAAGAAATTTGGATGTTCTATCGATCTAGTCACCAAAAATGAAGGCTCAATTCCTTTCCAGTTTGGTATCAGCAAATCTGAGGGTTTATCTAAATGTTTGGTTAAAACTGTAAATATGGAAGGCGAAGGAGGGACAGGAAATCACGATGCTACAAATTGGAATACGTGAGAATGAAATTAACAAATCTCTTTTTAAAAATTTTTATTTCTTAAGAATCCCTTTCTCCTTCAGTTTAAAAGATGCTGAATTTGAAAAGTTAAAATCCAATCCTCAATATGGAAAGAATTGTGGATCAAAAGGAAAAAATGTTTGTGAAAATAGTGGGGGAAAGTGTTTAAAACAAGCAGATTATTCAATTGGATGGGCAAGTAAATCTGACCAAGTTTTTTACGCAGTTCAGCCAAGTAAGTTATTGGTAGTTGACTTGGTGAACTTATCCTCACACGAAATTTATAAGATAAAACTAAAATAAGTAAATCCATGGGGTTGGATATTTGAGAGATAAATTTAAAATGTGACACCCCTTATTATAGGGTACTTATAGCAGCCCAAGGGCTTTAATATCTCCTTTAGCTCCCCTTTTCTGAAATAATTTTTTATTAAAATTTAGTTGGTGAGCCTCGATATTGGTATTGTTTACACGACGACAAAGATAACCTGACAAAATCTTTTTTTGAAATAAAAATTAGAAGTGGCGGTTTTGACTTATTAAGCAAAAATTGTGAGGGGAATATGGACTTTGATTGTTTTAAAAAAGAATTTATTCGAAAACCTGAAGAATGGGAAATTGTGGATGAAAATTATAAAGGAGGACTATTTAAATATTTATTTACTTTTCATTTGCTTCCACTATCAGCAGCTCCAAAACGCAATATATTTGTTAAGCGTATTATGAAAGGGAGGTTGAATGAAGCAAAATGCGATATTTTTATAAGATTGGTAAGTTTGTTTGCTTAAAATTGAAATTTTTGATATCAAATACTTCACTACAAGGGGCTGAACTTGGGGCTTAAAATTGTATATTATAATGAGGTGTATCCTAAATAGGAGACATTTTTCACAACTCTCCCCTCCATTAAAGAAAATTTAGCAAAGTTTAACCACAGAGCAAGATTGAACCTGCGACCTCCTCGCAGTTATTGCTAGGCGTTCTCACTCAACACATACGGGAACTATCAGGGCATCGAATAATGTCTCTAGGTGAATCATCCTTACATTAGCCTGCCAAAATTTTAAAAAGATGAAAGATTAAATTAATAATTGTTGGGTGTATTTCTAAAAATTTCAAATTAATTTTTTACTATTCTTTTTCAGGACAAAAATCATGTTAAAATGCTCACTCCATATAGTAAAGAATCTTTGTCTCAAAATTTAAATCCCAAAGTTCAATGTGAAAATTCTAAAACTACTGCAAGTGTTTTTAATGGAAAGAAGACTTCAACTAATTTATTAAATACAAACAACATTTTAACAACAGAAGGAACAAATATTAGTAAATCTGAGGGAACAACAAATATATTTTTTATTATTGGAATTATTTTAATTATTATAATAATGTAAATAGTTTTTAGAGAGTCAAACCTCATTTTTAGATACCCCCCAAAATTATTTGAGATGCTTTTTTTTAATTTTGGTTAGCCAACCGAGTAGGTGAGAGCTTTGTAAGGGATATCCATAGTTATTATAGGTACAAGTGATTGTAAAGCATATAGCTATTTAATTCCTATGGCTGTGCAGTAGGCGGCGTGGTGTAATGGCTAACACATTAGTCAGGACTACTGAAGATGCTGGTTCGCTCCCAGCCGCCGATTGACCTTTTGCATTAGCTAAAGGAAAGAAATAGCTATAGTCCAGCTGCTTTACAGGATAGACAGGCATAAAAAATAAATTCCCTATTCTCGGGAATCAGGAATTTTGTCGGTGCGATCCCTGATAGGTACCCTTCCTTATAATGTAAAATTTTCTATCCAAAGGGAGAGTATCTAAAAACGAGGATTGACTTTATTAAAATTTCTAAATCAAAAAATTTTTTTTAATTTTCAGTGTTGCATTAATTATTTATTGGCTAGTATTTAATCGAAAAAATAAAGAAAAAGAAGGAGAAATTGGAAAAACTTTTTCTGAAACAAAAATTGATAAATGGGCAAGAAAGAGTGAAACAACAAATATTGGGTCTGAAGAAACAAAAATCCCAAAAACAACAACAAATATCTCAGCTTCTTCTTCAAACACAAAGCCCTCTTCTTCAACTAAAGGCCAATCAACGGGAAAAACTTCTAGCCAAACAATGACTAAAACTGGGGAAGTATTTACGTATAAATCGCCTAGGCCTAGTACAATAAATAAAGTTATGAATAAATAAATGAAGAAAGGATTATATTTAAATTGTTTTTGTTGTTTTTGTATTGTTTTTTGAAATACTATAGCTATAATTTTGTTAATTTAATAATAAAAAAGTCTGGAAGAGTAGTCATATAGAAATAGTCTGTAGTGAGGTTTGAATAATTATTTTTAAATAAGATTTTATTTTTTGAAAAAAAAGACATGAAAAAAAAAGAAAACTTTTGGCTATATTCTTTTTTATTTAGTTATTCAATAACTTACATTTTTAATAAAAATATTTTTATTTACAAATTTTTAAGCCTTTATAAAAAATACTAAATTCAAAACAACCGATAAACAAAAGATCACTTATTATTAACCGAATTTAAGATTTATTAAAAAATTATTTTTCAGAAATACTGTTAAGATTAATTAAAATTTTATGAAAAATAAAGAATTTCTTCTTCAATTAAAATTTGTTTTTTCTTTCAATTTTTATTCACAAAAACTGGGAACCCCCAATGTTTTATAGGTTTCCCGAAATGCCGATTCCCGAAAATGTCTGTCCGCAAGTAAACGTTTATAGGAGTTCTGCAGAACTCCCGGCCCAAAAATTCATTTAGGTATTATTAGGTAATAAACAGAATTTCTTTATACTCAAATAAAAAGAAAAATATTATTTTATATATTATGCATTTATTTTTATTTTTCCATCAAAAAAATTTTTAATTTCCAGTCTTACTATAATTAAAATTGTCCCTAGTCTAAATTCTTTTAAGGAATAAAGGGTCTGTTTTTACATATTTTTAAGATAAAATGGAGAAAATTAAAATTTAAAGTAATATGAGGATTTCGTGTGGTTATTTAACCAAAAATTTTATTTTTTAATTTTCAAACCCGAAACTACTTGTAATATTTTTAAAGTATATTTCAAACATTAAATGAAAATAGTGTTAATTTTGAAATCATTCTAATTGTAATAAAGGACGGTTGTGTTAATTAATTTCAAAAAATAATGTTAAAATTAATTAATAATTTTAACAAAAATAAAAAAAAATTTCTTCTTCAATTAAAATTTGTTTTTCCTTCAATTTTTATTTTATTCCAATTAAACAATGCCTGTTTTAAATCTGGTTCTAAATGTAGTGGAAACAACAAATGTTGTGGTGGTCAACTTATAATTTAAACTAGAGACAAAACTGTTCTATTGGGGGCAAAAAGGTTAAAACAATGGGTGATGAATGAGTGAAATCTTCTTAACCCTTCTTAATTCTTGCAAATTCCTCTGTATCCCTCGATATCCCCATTAATCCCCAAAATCTCTTTTAATCATTTCTAATCACTCGGCACATTTATCCTCTAATTGCACTGACTTTACTTTAATGTTTAGAAATAGCACCCTTCTTAGTCTCAATGACCAACATCAACAACAATATCAAAATTCCCGAAAATCGGAAAGCCCCAACGTTTTTTGGGTCGGGAATCTCGATTCACGAAAGTCCGTAAGTCGAACATGCAAATGTCAGTCCGCAAGTGCGGTTCAACGATATACTATATAATTAAATGCAAAGACGACAGCATCGCTCATGTAGCTCAGTTGGATAAATCAGTTCATGATTCAAAAGAATTGTGGATCTGTACATGCATCCTAGATTAGACTTCTACATCTCTCTTACTAAATTGGAAATAAAACAAGCGAACAAGTCTAAAAACCAAAAGCCAAATTAGCAAATCTATATGCAAAGATAGGTGTTTATCGAGGTATGAAATTTACAGTATAAAAAGCAGATAAACCAATTAATATAAAACACCTTAATCTACGTATCTTCATTTTTCTTCGAAGGCTCCTGGGATGGCTTCGGTCTCTTTCTTCTTGCGGTTTGTTGCTATCATGTTGTTGGTTGTCAGCATTGTCTATTGTGACTTGGTAGGGCATGGCAAGCATGAGCTGGTCAACGGGAAGATTGTAAAGCTGCGGGGAAACACAAAAATAGCTGAGAAACCTGTGGATCTTGAACTTTACAAAAGTAAAGCGGGCTCGTGTGATGTTGAAATGAACAAGGAGGGAGATATGTAAGTGAACTGAAATTTTAAACAAAACAATTTTCTCCTTTAACAGAACACTCTGGTACCTCAAAAATTCCAACACAGCAAAGGAAGGATGCTCGATTGATTTTGTCATGCATGATCTTAGCGCCAGAAATTTTAAATTCGATTTTGCCATGTTTTTTGGTATCCAACATAACAAAGAATTGACTGATTGCTTGGCGGATATGGGATTGGTTGAAAAAATAAGATTGGACAATGAGTCAGCTATCACTTCCAATCTGTTTGTTCAATTTGAAAATTTTCATTAAAATTTTAATTTTTAGGATGTCCTTCTCTTTTAGTCTGAAGAATGGTGAATTTGAGGGAGTAAAAAGAGGATATCCGGAAAGGCACAAAAATTTTTGCGGTAATGCTGCGAAATGCAATAAAGGTGGAGGTAAATGCTTGGATGTTGCTGATTATTCTGTTGGATGGGCTCGAAATGAAGATTATGTTTCAAGTACAATTCAGCCAAGTGAGAAATTTTTACCTTCTTTGACACAGTCTCATTTAGGGTTCGACCCCCATCCTCGGTCCCACCTCGTAAAGTCGCATACTACAAGCGAGATCCGACTGTTAAAAATCCTTCATAATCATTTTATTTATCTTTAGTTGGTGAGAATAATTATTGGTTATGCGATAATGTTACGAAACATTATAAGCGAGAGATAGACTATCCTCATTATTTTGATGGAAAGACTTTCAGATCCTGCGGTAAGACCTTGCGCAGTTACTCTTGCTTCAAACAAGAAAATCTTCGCAAACCAAAAAGATGGGAAATTACGGATGAGGACTATACCGATACATTATACAATCATCTCTATACTTTCCACATTCTTCCAACAACTTCTATGCAAACAAGTATGCAAAATATTTGGATTAAATGTGATAAAGATGCGGATAAGGAAGATTGTAATGAAAATGCGGCATTCCAACAGTGTGACAAAATGTTTGTGAAATTTGTAAGTTTGGATGTTTAAAATATAAAATAAACTCTTATTTAATTAAGCCAAATGCCGCTTATAAAGTGCTCGTTCCTGATGGTTCAGTCAATAAACAAACGACTACGGCAGTTAGTGAAACGACAACTATGGTTACTTGTCCAACTGTTAGCTGTCCACCTTTTGTTACCTGCCCGCCTGTTGTTAGCTGTCCGGAAGTTGACTGTCCTCCTGTTACCAATATCTTGCAACCAGAAAATTCAACTGAAAAAGTCGAAATAAAGCCTCAAAATGGAAGTAGTTTGCCTGGAGTACCGCCAATTACAAAACCATCTTCAATTGCAAATGATTGCTACAACGAGGAGACTAAAAAGGATTCAAAGAAAACTTTGCAAATTACTCTCGTTATTGTTGGCTCTATAATATTGTAAGGATTTTAGAAGGATTTTTGGGCAAAGATTTGGTTTTTAATTTTTTAGGCTTCTAATGTTCACTGCTCTCCTCATCTGTCTGTTCGTGCGCAAAAGCAAGTAAAAGGAAAGGATTCTGAATAGTTGGATAAATATATAATAATTGTTGTAATATTTGTTATTTAATATTGGATGTTTTATATTCGCTGTATATTATATTGTATTTGATATAATGTAGTTGTCTAAAATAAATTGTAGTTTTTAACTAGAAAGTTTAAAATCTTTTAATTCAACAAATACAATAAAATAGCAAGAAATATATACCAGGTTAATAACGTTTTAAACATTGTTGACATTTTGTTGATTCAGATAATAAAGGAATTTTAAAAAATAATTGAAGAAGACGTTTTTAAATGAAAATAATTTTTTTAATTTAAACAGTCAAAGCTCACTATAAGATTCATAATAGACACTTGAAACCACTTGAGACAAAAAATTATAATTTATGAAGTGATGTATCATTAATAGGAGCTATAATTTGGAAGGCGTATATTACAAAATTTAGCGATTCTCTAATCGGTACTCAAAGCAAAGATTTTTTTATTTTTCATTAATATGATAAATCATAAGCGGTTCTAAACCAAATTCTGTTTTCAAGGTGAATAAACAAATAAAATAAATTTTAGTTCAAAATAAAATTTAAATTTTAGCAAAAATTCTCATTTATTTACAAAAATAGAAAATAAAAGAAGCAAAGTACAAAATAGAAACTAAAAAATATTTTTATAAAAAATCAAAATTTAATTTTTTATATCAATAAATAAAATAAACTTTTAGATTCTAAAAGCAAAAATTGAAGGTAAAAACACAAAATTTATAAAATTTGAACCAAAGGATTGTTTGATGTTTAATTGGAAATTCTTAAAGTAAAAAGTGCAGATTAGACAATATAAATACTGTTAGGTTGAGTTAAGCAATAAATCATTTTAATTAATTAATAATTAAATTCTTACTTTAAAAAATAGGTACATTTTATTAAAGATAATCATCAATGTTCAATCATCAATGTCAAACCATTAGATAAACGGCATAAACGTTATACGGTCCTTCTATGTAATTCGTTTAACTAACCTATCAAAATTCTCAAAATTTTCGCCTGCGGCTCTTAAATAAAAAAATTTGGACCAAAAGTAAAAAATTTTACATCTCAATCTCTCCAAATTTCTAATCCTTCAATAAATTAATTTTTAGATAAATTTAAAAATTAAATACACAAAATAATGTCTTCAATTAATATTTATTGCCTTCTTTTTGTCTTCTCTACTTTTTTAATACTTGAATTTACAAATGGTTGCTCATATCATGGATGTAATTCAAATATGCATTGCTGTTCTGGTTTTAAATGTAAGCGTGGTCAATGTGCTTCTTGTGAAGGACATAATGATAACTGCGATCATAATGATGATTGTTGTCTTGGGGACTGCAAAAATGGAGTATGTGCAAAATAATATGACTGGAGAGAATTTCCAATGAAATAAATTTTTCTGATACTGGTAAAAACAATGCTAACTATCCGCAGCTAGAGATATTTTTATGAATTTGAGTCTGAGTTTTGTGCAGCAAGCATTTTAACTATGAAGAAAACTCATACTCAAATGCCTGAAAATATCTCTAGCTGCGGATAGTTAGCATTGTTTTTACCAGTATGATAGGACGAAACTTGCGGGCCGATATGGAAATTGAAAAACTTTTTATAAAATTAAAATTCTGGTCCGAAACTTTTCTATCTTCTTTGTACTTTCCTATTAATTAAATCTATCAAAAGTTTTTAATTGGAAATGTTACGGGTTATGGCAAAAGTCAAATTTCAGGTGGTGCTTTTCACACCTTTTTTCGGTTAAGATTATCGAGCAACCCGTAACATCCAAAAAATTTATTTAATATTTCTTATCTTTCCTGACTTCTTTTATTATAAATAATAATCTTTATTTGATAATGAACTTGTACTATTATTAAAAATAAAATTGTTTCTATTCAAGACTAGGGTTGGCGGTTCCAAATATGCGGAACCGAAAAAGTCCGGTTATCCAGGAATTTTCATTTCGGTTAATAGTTCTGTGTATTTGAAGATTTTTTGAGAAAACTTAAGAAAATATAAATTTTTTATTACCTTTATTAGGTAATTTTTAACAAAGAAATTTTTAGAAAATACAAAAAACGTTTACTCAAGTCGTTATGGAAACATATCTACTTTCTCCTCTCTTTGTCCATTGTTTATTATATAGACAGGTAAAAAGCCCTCTCAAACAAAAGCAAAAAAACTGGAAAGGCTTCCCTTTAACTGTTTTTCTATAATTTTGAGGAAAATAATATAAACTGGATTTAAAGAGCCCTTAAAATTAAATAAATAAAATTTTATGCTTCTTATTTTACACGAAATTTAGGATTTATTTTTTAATTTATACGCTTCGAGATATTTAAAATATTCTTATGGTCCGTACTTATTCATTTAATCCTTCAACTCAAAGTAATATAATTTTGAATGGAAGAGGAACAACACCCTTACCCTCCCTGTCATCTGCTACAACTTCTTTACGTTCAATGACGGAAAAAGGTTTTTAATGAAGATTTGGAAATTTACATATGGAAACCAGAAGGGGGGGGGGAAATATAGGGATGGGGAAGCGTTTCTCAGATTTGAATTTTACCTAAAATTTTATCAAAGTTCAACTTTTAATTTTTAAAAATCAGCTCAAACAACAGCTGGACATACCCCGCGGAGAATAAAAAAAGAACAACAACAACAAATCCCTTTTCAGGATAATCAAAATTCTTTTAATTTAAATTATTCACAAATGAATGGAAATAATAATTCTTTTGAGGAAGTGCCTTTTCAGCAGAAACAACAACAATCTCCAATAGTTATTGAGGTTTGAGAATATTTTGGCGAACAAAATTAAAAATGATGGAGATAGTGGGATAGTTGAGTGAATAACATCCAAAATTGCCTAGGAGGCTCCCTTCTAGACAATTCTCGTTTCTCCTTCCATTAATAATTTTTCCCAAATATTTTCACAAAATCAAGATACTTTTTAGGAAGAACAAACAACTTTATTTGGAATTAGATCAATTCTTATTAACGGGCAACGTTTCTTTCAACCCTTGGATATACCTTCTTCCAATCAAAATCAACAAAGAAATCAACAAACATCAGCAGCTTTAGTTTTGGCATTAAACGGGAATAATAAAAATAATGGAGAGCATAAAACAACGTCCCTCGTTATTAACGGGAATGGAAGAATAAATTCTGATTTTAACCAACAAAATCAGAATTTTAATGATAGAATAGAACAATCGAGTAATTATTCAATTCAAAATGGAAACAAAATAGATGAATTTTTAACTAATAATTTTACACCGTCTTTACCAAATAATGGACATAATATCATCCCAAATTTACAATCAACTTCGAAAAATAATTTTGTTGAACGTCAAAACTCCACTTTACAACAAAATAATTTAACTGATACTGTACAAAGAGAGAATAAAGAGGAGGAGGAAGGAGAGAATGATAATGTTCTTCCTTGGGCAAGGGGATGTCCTCAACCTAAAAGTGGACAGAGAGGTTCTCGAAGTTGGATGGAAGGAAATGAAATGATTAAAAGAGTTTGTTTTGAATTTTTAAGTAAAAATCTGGATTTTTTATAAATATCATTCTTGTTTATGCTACTGTCGGACCTCATTTATTAAACCCTTAAAATCGAATGTGTCCATTTTTAGGGGTATCGTTTGATCCGCTTCCCAGACAATAGCCAACCAAATCTAAAAAATGTAGCTATGAGGTATATTAATCATTGGGTGAGTGTAAAATTAAGGTCCGATTATATATTCCATTTTTTCTAACATTCCTGTCCATTGTTCTTGTCTTCCTTCAAAAAAAGACAAAAATTAAAATTATTCAGATTCTAGCTCCAAAAAGTTAAAAATCTACTTGTTGCTTTACCTAAAATTAACGAGGACGTCCCTTCCTGCCCTTAAATGAATAAAGAAATCGTCATGAGAGAACCTAATGAATTTTTTAATAATTTTTTAAGAAATTTAATTTTTTCTTAGCATGGAAGCGCCTTTGAACGTTCATTTGCAGCAACATCTTCAACTGTCAGTTGGCCTCCCCCAATACCCCAATTACCCGAAAGAATTGTAGAACAAAATTTTCAGCGTTCAGCATCAAGTATAGCTCCATTATCTAATATAAGTGCAACAGAAAGACATAGACTTGAATTGTTACATCAAATAGAAGAAAATAGAAGGAGACGAGCTTTGGAAAAACAAAAAGAATGGGAAATGGAGGAAAGGGAAAGGATTAGGTTTTGTGAATTAATTTTAAAATTTGTTTTTTGTGAAAGCCTCAATTGTTTGGGATTTGGCTTAAAATACATATAAGTTTTACAGAGGATTTAAAAAATTTTTTCGATTAAGATCCTGGCCATTAGAAAAAAATTAAAGTTTAGTTAACATTTAACTATGGGATTCATCTTATGTTTTTTGGCATTGGTAAGGAGTAGGGTTGCGCCCCGACCCCGACTAACCCCGACCCCGACCCCGAACCCCGACATTTTTTGACCTAAAACCCCGACCCCGACCCCGACATTCCCAACCCCGAAAACCCCGACCCCCGAAAGTTCGACCCCGACGACCCCGAACCCCGAAAAATTTGTATGACCCCGACTCAAACTGCATTAATTAACTTTTATACATATATTTTTTTGTTGGCATTCTGCTATGATTTTGATAAAACAAAAGAAAGGAAAAGACTAGAGATCTTCAAAGGACACGATCCCGCACAGGATTTTTCAGGATCCTGTCCGAAATCCTGCCTTTTTCCTGCCGAAATCCTTCTGCGGCGCTGAAAAAAGAAGAAATCTGGCACCGAAATCCCAAAAGTTTTGCTTACGGCGCTGTAAAGGGAAGTTAAATGGTATATCAGAGAATTTGGACAGATAAAGGGGTATTTTGAGTTATATCGCTAAATGAAATTATGGATTTTAGTGATATTCGGATATTTGAAGGGATCTAAGGGTATAGTGAGGGATTTGGCATTCCGAAGCGGCATTACTTGAACTAGATTTTTCCCCTATTACTTTCTACTAGAGTTGGCCGGGATCGGGATCCCGGTCGGGAACCGGAAAGTTTTTTGAACCGGAAAGTAAATCATGCGTCTATGAGACTTTAACTCAATATTTCAGCACCGGAGTGGAAATTTTAAAATTATATTAAGTCGTTTGTGAAGAAAATAAAAGTTTAAAAGTTTTTAAAAATTTTTTTAGTAAATCCCGATCCCGAGTTTTCAATCCCGGTCCCGATCCGGGATCGGGATCGGGATCTCCAGTCCAAATCCCGATCCCGATTTCGGCCAATCCCGATCCCGTGTCGGGATCCGGGATCGGGATCGGGATCACCATTCCAAAATCCCGATCCCGGGTTTTTCAATAAATCCCGATACCGCCCAACTCTACTTTCTACTCGACTTACACTACTTGGAATACCAAACTTTTGACCCAACAATGGGGGATGTTGACTCAGTGATGGGGGAAGTTTCCGGATATCAGAAATCTTTTGTTCGGATCCTAGAATTAGGGAAAAATAAAAAAATTGGTCCATTAATTTTAGATCCTTTTTTCGCCTGCGGCGCAAAACATGGAAGAAATCTGGCTTCTTGACCTCCAGAATTCTCAAAATTTTTGCCTGCGGCGCTAAAAATGTAAGAAATCTGGCTTCTCGACCTCAATAATTCTCAAAGTTTTGCCTGCGGCGCTGAAAGAGGAAGAAATGAACAGTAATGTTTGATAAAAATGCTGGATTTTGTAAATTTTCACTTCAACCCCGACCCCCGACCCCGACCCCGAACCCCGACATCATTTTCAGCCCCGACCCCGACCCCGAACGATTTGAGCAACCCCGACCCCGACCCCGACTTTGTCAACCCCGAAAACCCCGACCCCCGACTTTTTCAACCCCGAAGGCTCGGGGCGCAACCCTAGTAAGGAGTATTATAATAACTAAAGAGTACTCTGAACGAGTAAAGAGGGGCTTTTTAATATCCACTAAATCTTCAAGGGATCCCTTAATAAAATAGCAACAGCAAGTGTGCCCGAATTAAATTTCAATTAAACTGTTCATGCCTAATTTGAAATTTGACGATTTTTTATAAACAAAAATACTTAATTTTCATTATTTTTAAAGAGATGAACGTTGGCGAGAACGTCAGCGTGCAGAAATCGAAGCAGAAAAACGTGCGGAACGTGAAAAGGCCTTAGCTGTAGAACGTAAAGCCGCTAAGCTTGCAGCAGCCCAAAAAGCGACGGAATTAGCACTACGTGAAGAAGCACAAAGATTGGCTGAGGCTAGAGCTCAAAGAAGGCGGAAACAATCAGGTAGGAATGGATATTTTTTGAAAAGAATTTATTTTCAAAAAAATTTCTAGGCTCAAATTTCTCGGAAACAGTTGAATCTGTCAGTGATCGTAGTCGCCCAATAAGTCGTCAAATTCCCGTTGGTAATAAAAATAGAAATATTGGAGAAGAGATTGATAGAAATAAAAATGAGGTGAATTTATGGGGTTATTTTTAATTTCAAATTAAATTAGGCTTAAAGGCCAGGGTTCTATCAAAGATTAATAGAAAATTAATGAATTAAAGATAAATAGGTTTTAAATTTAACAGACAGAGGAGGAATGGTGGGAAAGGAAGAACAGCATATATGCAGAGAGAGTGGCAGGTTCAGCTCGTAACAATAATCGCCCTTCCTCTTTTCGTGGAAGGCAACAATCCCCTGTAGTTCCAGCATTAAGAAAAAGATTAATGGAAAATGGAGAAAATCAGCAACAACAAGAATTAATACAAACACAACGCTCAATGAGTGTAGGTAGTCGGCCTGGAAGTAGGAGAAGCAGTGTTTCTTCTGCTTTTGGAAGGTTTGTTGAAGTTAAAGAGATTGTGATTAGTTTGAATATTTTTGGGAGTTTAAGCGAATATTTCGGAATTTAACGAATCACTTTTTTAATTCCTGTTATGCGGCTTTAATTATTAATGGCTGCCAACTTTTTGATTGTTAAGCAAAATTCATAAACAATTACAATGAGATCCTTTATAAAAATTTTTTGTCAATTGATTATTTCAACCGAAATTAGCTCCAATTCTAATTTTCCTAAATTTAAATTTAACACGAAAATATTTTCTTAAATTTTAAAATTAAAGAGCAAGCCGGCATGCTTATACTCCTTCAGTTGAAAATCGAAATAACTCGAATTCAATTAAAAATGGGATTGGAAGGAGCAGAAATGGTAATAGAACTGACGTGAATTGATAAAAATTTGGATTGTATTATTATTAAATTTGTTTATTTCCATTCCATCAGAAGATATTTAATTTGTTAGATAAATATTTATTAAAAAAATTATTTATAAATAGTTATTGTTAATGTTAAAGACAGGACTGGGAGTGTCGTACGAGAATCGAGATCTCGAAAATTCTCGATCACGATAACCGAAATTTTCGATCGAGATCTCGTCTCTGTCCGGTCTGTAGTTAATTTTTTTGGTAAATTGTACTTTGATAGAAAAACAATCGAGATTTGCCTGAAATTAAAAGTATAAAAACCACTCTAATAAAGCAACTAAATACAACTTTACAATTCTACAAACATCCTCTAAAATGCCTTCAATCTTATCAGTCTCGTGTTTTGTGGCGGTTGTGTTGCTAATGGTTGGAGATGTCAATTGCGATCTAGTTGGGCATGGCAGGCATGAGCTGGATGGTGAGGAGATCACAACTTTGAAGGGGAATACAATGATAGCTGAAAGCGAGACAGACCTTGAACTTTACAATAAAATGGAGGGGGCTTGCAATGTTACTATGGACGGGGATGGAAATATGTAAGGAACTTTAATGATATTTTTTATTGAAAAACACCTTACTAAAGCCTGCTTTGGTATGACGAGAAATTAAAGGATAATGGATGCTCGCTGGATTTGGTCACAAAAAATGATAATATATTTGGCTTGGCATTTACCATTTCGGACAATGATATGTTAACCTGCCTTACCTTTTCTACTCTTGACAATATGTGAGTTAATTTATCTTTTAGACAGTTCTAAATATGTTCCTTTTAGGATGTTTTTCACCTTTAGCCTGAAAGTGGATGAATTTGAAAAGCTCAAAAGAGATGGACATATTTATGGCAAAAACTGCAATAAATCTTCACGCGAATGCAAAAACATCAAATGTTTGGAGGTATATGACTACGCTATTGGGTGGAACAAAGTTGCTCTTTTCCTTTATTTAAGTAACAAATAATTCTCTAAAAATTATTTAACTCTATTTTTCTTTTAGTTGGTGATCCTATAGTTTTACGTTCAGAAAGCAAAATATCTGAAGTTTGGTCATCTCCACTATTTTTTGGAAAGTTACATAATTTTACAATAAATAGAATAAATGGACTTCGCCCAATGTGCTCCAAGAATGACACTAGGCGCGAACCAAAGGCATGGAAAATTGTTGACAATAATTACTACAAAGAAACAGAATTCAAATATCTTCTTACTTTTCACATTCTGCCGGTATCTAAAATGCGTGATAAGATGGAGGACGCATTTTGTAAAAAAGATTACGCATATGACTGCAGTGGAAATGATAAAATGCAAAAATGTGCAAATATATATGTGAAATTTGTAAGTTAATTTGTCTGCCAATTATTAACTTAACAAGAAAAAAATTTAGGGAAAGGACCACTACAAATTACTTGTCCCTTATATTCCAACAACTACAGTAAATACTTCAACTACCCAAAAATTCATTTCCACAACAACAACAAAAACAGTCACAACGTCTTTTGGATGGAATACTACAAAAACAACAAATCATTCTTCAACAACTTTAACGACTAAACAAACATCTAAAACTAAAGAAAATTTAATTAAATTCATTATTGGGTTTTGCCTTATATTGTGAGTTTATTGAAATTTTTGGTACTTTTTTAGTTTGGGTGGACAATGTTGTTATAAAATGTTAATAGTGGTAAAGGACACCAGAAATTTTATTTGGGTTAATGGTTACCACCGAAGATTTAGTCGAAAATCACTTTGGGATACCCCCTTAGGTCTGAAAAAATCGTAGTTTGTAATGAAGAGTACCTTGAATTGTGGACGTCTTTCCTAGACAATGTCTGTGTAAAATGTTAATACTGGTGAAAATGACACAAGCAATTGTGTTTGGGTTAAGGTTTGCCCGAAGATTTAGTCGAAAATCACTTTCGGATGCCCCCTTGGACTTGAAAATATCGTAGTTTATAGTAAGGGGTACCCTGAATTGTGAATGTCATTCCTCAATTTTCTTTCCAACCAAGTTTTAGAAAACTGCTTAAATTTGGGAGTATTGCTAGATTTTTTAAATTGTTGTAAAACAATTTTGTCTATCTAAATTTAAAGAGTACCCACTAAATAATTAAATTTACTTTTTTAACTCATAAATTTTCAGCTTTGTGTCAATATTCAGTTGCTTTCTAGTATGTTGCTGTGTGTATTGTATCAAATCTAAAAAGAAAAATAAACAAAAACCCAAATCAAATCTGGATAAACATAGAAGGTCAAATCCATCCAAAATTCACGTTTCGAAGCCTAATCCGCCTCCAATTCAACTAAATCCTCCTCCAATCCAAGCAAATCCTCCTCCTGTCCGAACAAATCCAAACTTGATCAAATTCAAAAAATCAAAGATGACAACTGTTTCGAGGCCAGATAAACTTCCATTCAGAGATTCAAACGAAGATGTTGCAAAAATTAAAGTTGTCAAACCTCCAAGTACTCTAACAAAAACAGACTCTCCGTCAACGGAAGACTATACTTATAACCAAACTTTAACAAACCAAACAATGATGTGGACGTATAAAGAACCGCCGGAAAAGGTTGTTGATAAAGATGATGATGAATCAACGATTAAAAAATAAAAATATTTTGGATATAATTTTTTGGTTTATTTGTTTGTATATATTTGTTTTTGATGTTTTCTTGTTAGAAACTTTTTGTATTTGTTAAATCCAGCCTACTTGTAAATTTCACTACAATAAATTTTTAAACAAAATTAATTTTATTTTTTATTAATAATCCATGAGCTTTTCTAAACAAAATTTTGTTTTGGATATGAATAAACAGAAATAATAAAATTTTGATACTTAGGGAGTATCTCATAATAAGTCCGCAAATGTTTTGTTTCTTCTCCGTCATTCTTTCTCCTCTCATAAAGATTATAAATAGTTAAGTATTGATAATAGTACAGGGTGTTTCAGCTGAAAAGCGCTATTTGAAAAATTAATAAACTTTTACTGCGTGGACAGATTTAAATTAAATTTTGTATTTTGCATCTATATTTTATGGCAATTTTTTTGACATAAAAATTATGTCGAAATTCGAACCCTAACCCGAGATAATTTCGTACTCTATCGTTCTGTTTTTCCCTTTTTCCGCACATGCATTATTACTCCCTTTTGTTTGTTACAAGCGGCGATAGACACTAGAGTAAACACTAAGCGATAGACACTACATTTTCAATAGAGTATCCACTTTTCGCCATACGCAGGAAAATAAATGCACTAAGATAGCGCGCAATGAAAAGAGAAAGGAAAGAGAACGGTAGAGTACGAAATTGTACGAAATTGAAATACGGGGTTAGGGTTCGAATTTCGACATAATTTTTATGTCAAAAAAATTGCCATAAAATATAGATGCAAAATACCAAATTTCATTCAAATCTGTCCATTGTGTAAAAAGTTATGGATTTTTCAAATAGCGCTTTTCAGCTGAAACACCCTGTATAACCATCTCCGCTTCATTCTCCCCCGCCTCCCCCTTATTTTGAAGACGAGCAAAATTTTGAAAATTTTATTGAGGTAAAGCTAGGTACTTGTCGGCTATCTCCTTTACTGGATCAGGGATGTCACGGGTTGAGAAAGAATATGAAAGTATTATTTTTCAGCGCGGTACTACAGTTTATTAACCGGTCAATTATTCTTAAATAAAATGATTTTCATTTTTTTCATTTATTTTTGCGGACAATAAAATTTTTAAATAGTGAACATTAATCTGTTATCAAGAAAATATCGTATATGAAAAATTTTCCGGTACCAAAATGACTTTTTACTCTCAATATTTTGCGTCAAAATGTTTATATTTTTAATGGGATCAAATGTCATTTTTTGTTTCTCTCGCAGTCTCTCACTTTTTCCTTCTGCCTATCAGTTCAAAGCGAAATTTTTGTTTTTTCATTTCGAGTTTCGATTCGATGGTTTCAACTTTCAAAATTTGTTTATTCCAGTTTCTGCAACAATCTCAAAGAGTAAAACTGATATATTTAAGCTTATTTACGTCTCGCTTTTTAAAGTTGCAATTTAGTCGATTTTTTATTTTTTTACAATTTACAGATGTCAGATGAAATGAATCCAAGTAATTTAATTAAAAGCGAAGAGGATAACGAAAAAAATCAAAAACAAAATTCCGCCACAAAAAAGCGTTTTTTCTTTAGCAAAGGCCAACGACTATTACCTCCAAATAATCCAACTTCTGAACATTTAGAAAAAACAAATGAAGAAATTGCTGGAAAAGAAGAAAATTGTGCTCATGAAATTATTATAAAAGATATGTGTGGAAATTGTGGAAAGGATTTAAGAATGTAAGTTATTTAAAGTTCTGTTTATTTTTGTGGACAAAATTATTTTTTTTGCGGACACTACTAAAATTTTGCGGACTAAGCTTTATTTATATTTTATCGAATTTTTTATTTTTTCTGACCTTAGTTGATTTAAAATTTTCTAAGATCTTTACTCTTTCTTCTAATTTTTATTTTTGCGGACGTACTTAAAAAAATTTTTTTGCGGTCGTTGAAATCCATAGATATTTTATTCAAATTTTTGCAACTTTTCTATTTTTTAAATTTATTTTTTAGCAAGGGAGGATATTCTGGGGAGCGGACAGAGCCTGTTGGGGCAAATATTTCTATGATTCATCACGTCCCCGAGCTTGTAGTTTCTAATGAGGTTTGTCTAAAAAATTTTTAATAAGAAATATTTTCTGTTTAAGGTTGCAAGTCAATTGGGTGCCCGAGACCATGAAAACATTCTTCGTCAACGCAAATTGATTTTATTGTTAGATCTTGACCAAACATTGGTTCACACTTCGAATAGGCCTTTAAAGCCTTGTGAAGCAGCATCGTCAACAGTTTAATAATTTTTTGTAAAATTTTTTTAATTAAATTTAGAATCTGTTTGGTTATCAACTTTTTGGAAATACTTTTTTTACAAAAATAAGGCCTTATACTCATCATTTTTTGGAACATATTAATAAATTGTATGAATTACATATTGTTACTTTTGGTTAGTTTTTTATATTTTATTTTTTTAATTGAGCTATTTTTGAAGAATTTAGACTTTTTAATGATTTAATAAGTATTTTGAATCTTAAAATTTTTTAAATTATTTTTAAAAATTTAATTTAGGTCAACGTATGTATGCGCACAAAATTGCTGAATTGCTGGACCCAAATAAAATTTATTTTGATTATAGAGTTTTGTCTAGAGATGAATTGTTGAGCAGGTTATTAAATTATCTTTAGTTTTTTAGTGACTGGAATTTAATTATTTTATTGAATTTATATCTTATCTTAATTTATTTTTTCCGGAATTTTTTAAGGATTATGAAAGCTTTTTGATATTTGACCATATTTTCATTTTACACGGAGAGTTTGCGTGGTGTCCGACATAAAAATGGAGGGGTAAAATTATCCCAAATTTTCGGACTTTGGAGAGCCATATCTTGGCCAGATCAAAAAACAGGCAAAAATGTCTCAAAATCGTTGCTAGAAAGAGCACATTTTCTATCGAATGAGCCCGGTCTCGACCTTTTTCGGTCGGACACCTCGCGACCTCTCCGTGTTAGGTAATCAAAAAATTTTATTTTTTCAGTATTCACAAAGCTGGAAATTTAAAAGCTTTATTTCCTTGTAGTGAACAATTAGTTTTAATGTTGGATGATAGACCGGATGTTTGGATGCATTCTGATGCTTTAATCAGAGTTTCTAATTTATTTTTAATTATTTTTTTTCTTATTTTTTAGTTAAAACCTTATCGTTTCTTTTTGGATGTTGGGGATATTAATTATCCTTTGGAAAAAGAAAATAAAGATTCTGAGGAAAAGAAAAAGAATATTAATGAAAAAAGTGTTGAAAAGAAGGAAATGGAGAAAAAGGAAAAAGAAGAGAAAGGAGAAGAAAGTTTAAATCAAAAAGGTTTTTTTAATTTTTTTGAATCATTAAAGTTTTACAAATTTATTTTTAAATATTGTTAGTTTAGTTAATATGAAACAAAAATTAATTTTTTATACAAGGCAGGGAAATTCTGCAAACTTTGTCCGCATTTTTAATTTTGTTTTTTAAATTGTGATTTTGATTAGAACATTTCCTTAACTTGAATAAGTTCCGAATTAATTAATTTTTAAATATTGCCTGAACTAATTTTTTTTGTTAAGGAAAAAAAATTTTGAAAATTTTTTTAATTTACTAGATATTCCACAATCTGAAGAATCTGGGGAAAATAAAAAATGTGATGAAGACGGGACCAAAAAATCTGAATTAAAAATTGATTTACCTGATGAATTAAGTAAGCCAGTTACTCCTTTATCTGATAATGATAATGCTTTGGTATATATTGAACGTATATTGAAGGAGGTTTGTTTGGAAATTTTTTAAATATACAAATAATAAATTTTGTTTTAAAATTGTAACGATAATTTTGAGTCACTTTAGGGAGCTTTTTGTTAATTTTTTTAACAACAAGGAAATGTTTAGTTCGGGCCCTTACCCGAGATTTTTTTCGGGGGACCAAGGAGAAATTTTTTCCTTAAGGGGAAGAAATTTTGATTTTTTGCGTCACATGTGAAAATTTTTTTGATTTTGTAAGACAATGAATAATCCTATAATATTAAAATATAAAAAAATTAAATAATCTAAAATGTAATAATAAATTTTAAAGATCCATTCAATATTCTATGAGCAATATGATCGTGAAGGACAAACTCCAAACGTAAAACATATTGTCTCCTGGCTTCGTTCTCAAGTTCTGAAAGGTGAACGTATAGTCTTTTCTGGTATAGTCCCGCTTGGAATTGATATTAATTCTTGCGAAATTTATCAACTTTGTACACAATTTGGAGCAAAAGTTGGAGAGAAAATTGTTAAAGGAGAAACTACTGTTTTGGTTGCTGCTAAGGCTGGAACTGAGTAAATTTCTTATTAAATTTTTTGGGGGAGATTTAGTGTTTGATACATAATTTTAGGGGAACTGAGTAAAAATTTTGGAATTTTTTGTGAAATTAGTTTCTGTTAATTTTAGAAATTGGAAAGGAGATTGAAATTTATTTTTAATGAATTGGGGGAAAATTTTTTATTAAATTTCTTCGCATAAATTATTCTCATTGATTTTTCCATGGAATTGGAGAATTTTGGATAACGAAATTGAATTTTTCACCTAAAAATTTTCATTTTATTATTTTTTATCAGATCTAAAATCTTTTACCCATTTCTTTGATTTTTAAAAATTAATTAAATTTTAAGACGTAAACCTAAAATTAAATTTTATTTTTTGATTAATTTAAATATTTTTTAGAAAAATTCGTCAAGCAAAACGTTTACGAATTCCTGTAGTCAGTGTTCGTTGGTTAGAAGCTTGTTATGAACGTTGGCAGAAACTTGATAAAAGGGATTTTTTATTTTGTGAAGAAGATTGTGCAGGTTGGGAATTATTGAAAAAAGAAATTTTAAATAATTTTCATTAAAAGAATTTGGCGGTTCTTTGCATTCAAAAAAGCCACGTTTAAGTGAAACTTTATGTTCAAGTACAGAAATGGATCACTTTTCACAAATGGATACTCTTGACAAAAAGGCATTGCAGGAAATGGAAAATGAGGTATTTTATGATTTTGAAATTCTTTTAGAGGATTTTTAATGTGAGGGGATTTTTGTAAAAAATAAATTTGAATTAATTGAGGACTGGATACTTTACCTTGCGTTCACTTTAACTTATGGTAATTACTGCATATGTCAGATATTTATAAAATCACTTAAACTTGGATTGGTATGGTTAGACAAGATAGAAAAAGATATATTTGAAGTATGACACTTTAAAAATTTGGCAGAAGTTTTATCTTGTAATGAACTCTAAGTAAATTTGTGTGGGTGTATTCTAATTAATTTTTTAATTATATAAAGATTAATATTATTTTCTATTAATTTTTAGGTAGATTGTGCTCTTTCTGAAGATGATGACGATGATAACGAGGCTTCCACTTCTTTCTATACTCAATTAAAAACAGAAAAGTATTGTGTTTTTTAAATAAAAAATCAAATAAATTACTAATATATATTTATAGAGAAGATCAAGAATTATCTGTTTCTGACAATGATAACAACAACAAATTTGTGGATGATATACTTCCAAATTTAAATGAAGAAGAAGATCCCCAAGAATATAGTAAATGTCTTGATGAAAGTGAAGTTCCGTTAAATGATGAGGAAGAAGATGAACAGGATTATATTGATTATGAAAATGAACATTTGGGGGAGAAGGAGTCATCTTCTGATGGGGGAAGTGAAGTGAAACAAGAAGGAAAAGAGGGGACATCTAATGATGATGATGAAGAGGTGGGGGGACAATTTGAAAAGGAGGCATCTTATGGTGATAGTGATGTGAGGCAATTTGGAGATTCTGATACAAATGATGTAGGCTATTTGAATATTAAAAAATAATTTGCAATTATAGTGGGGAGTTGAAATAATTACCTAAATTATAAATTAAAAAATTAAATCAAGTTAAAAAAAAATAAAAAAATAGAGTAGGAAAATAAATAAGACATAAAATATTATACCAAAATGGAGGTTGCTTGCTAATTGTCTAAGAAATTTTTTTATAGTTCAAAATTTAAAAATGTTCAAAAATATTTTTTAGTTAAATGAAGATTATGATGAAATGGTGGCTGATATTGAACAGCAGTTGAACGATAATAAATGACATTATTTAATTCTATTATTTAATTTTTCATCAATTCTGAATATAATATTTTCAATAAATTTAAGATATACTTATTTTAAAAATATTTTAAAAATAGTCATTTATTAAAAATTCTTTTATGAATTGGCAATGAAAATTATATATTTATTCTAACAATAAGATAACAAGAAATATTTAACAAAATTATGGATAACAAGAAAAAATTTTATATGGAAAATAATAAAATACCCTAAATCCTCAAAATAATAGAACAATGTGTACTTTTATTAACCAGTCCTCATTTGAGGGTAAGGTTAAACTCACAAATTTAAGGTCCATCTAGAAGGAAATCAGAGGTGGGTCGGAACAGTCAGAGATGTCGGAAATCGGAAACCCACCTCTGAGAATTCCTCTTTGCGTTTTTCACGTCATTTTGGATGGTGTGTGCTTATATTGGTGTGGTTCCATTAAAGAATTTACAATAATATTCTACGTATATCATAATATTTATAATCAAAAATAATTTTAATTTTTATATTTCCATCGTTTAAGTAATTCACATTTATTTCTTCACTTCATTATTCCCTTCTTTTCTGCAAAAACACCAAAGGAGAACACCAACAACGCTAACAAGCCTTTAAATATATTTAATTAATTTAACTCGAAAATTCTTACAAAATAATATTGACGGCAATCAGGGTAATAGTAATGGATTCACGGATTTCTGCATTTCGTGCATGTATGGCAATCTCCTCAGCTGTTATCTCTTTCTCGTTTATTAAAATCCTGTAGTCTTTACCGCTCTGGAAATGAATAAATTTTGAATTTGGAAATAATTTTGGTTAAACTCACAAATTTGATTTCAATTTTGCAGTTAGGTCCATTTAGAGGAGAATTCCTTTTAATATTATTCCCCTCACGCTGGAAAGAAGCCTTTTGCGGGAGAAGGTAGAAAGCTAGCAATTGTCTGTATCGAGAATCGAATTTAAGACTTTGATCTCTAATCTCCCAAGTTATTGGTTTAATTAGTCCTTTTTGTACTACGATTATACCATAACGATTTAAACATACAAAAGAATGGCATCTCGAGTTGGTTAAATAAAACCCCGTTTCAGCGTTCTCTATTTTGAACCAATAAATGTGATCATCAACATAACGTTAATTTCAGACTTTAAATTGTCCACTAGATTTTCACTGGGATGTTCACACACTACTGGCTCACCAACTGTAAATAGATTTGTTAAAATTTTTGAAGAGAAAATTTTATCTCCTTACTTGGTTGCATGCCAACATGAACTTTATCTCCATTATAAGCCCAACCAAACTCTAATCCACCAGGTTTCAAGCATTCTCCTCCACTTTTGACGCACTCATCCTTCTTATCGCAAGAAATACCCTCCTCGTAGGGTCCAGGGATGTCACGGGTTGAGAAAAATGTCGGGTCGGGTTTCGGGTCGGGTTTCCAAAATTTTTCTCGGATCGGGTTTCGGGTTTCGGGTTGAGCAAAAAGTCGGATCGGGTTTCGGATCGGGTTTTCAAAATTTTCTTCGGATCGGGTTTCGGGTTTCGGGTCGAAAAAAGCCAAAATTTTGAGAATTTTGGAAGGCCAAAAAGCCAAAAATCTTCCCTTCTCAGCGCCGCAGGCGAAAATTTTCAGAATTTTGGAAGATCATTAAGCTAAAAATCTTCCCTTTTTCTGCGACGCGGGCGAAAATTTTGAGAAAACTCGGGTCGGGTTTCGGGTCGGGTTTTGAAAAATAAAAATTCTCGGGTCGGGTTTCGGGTCGGGTTTTAGAAATTTTCTCGGATCGGGTTTCGGGTATCGGGTCGAAAAAAAGGCCGGGTTTCGGGTTTCGGGTATCGGGTTTCGGATAACCCGTGACATCCCTGGTAGGGTCCTTCCTTCAGCTTTTCAAAACGGTCAAAACCAATGCTGTATGCAAAAGGGACCCTTAAATCTGGAAGATTAGTCACTTAAAAAATAATTTCTTTTACAAATTAGCATTAAATCCGTCGGGCATTGCCTGAAGACATTCTTTAATCTCTTTGTTGTCATTACTTAAAGTGGCGGTAAATTCGAACTTATAAGTGAGAAATTTGTGTCCAATATCAATAGCACATCCATTTTCTCGAACGGAGTTGTAATTTAGAACGCTGAAAGAGGTATACTGATTTTGTATCAATTCCTTAAACTTACATATCCCCGTTTTCATCAAATTTTACATCGCAAGCATTCTTCGTCCCTTTGTAATCTTCTAAGTCCTCGTTGGTTTTTGCAATACGACTTGCTGTGCCAATTCGAGTAATTATATTGTTGACCATAGTGTGACGACCATACCCAACATAAGTAACCTCTTCTGACGTAACACAATTGAGTGAAGTCCAGATAGCCAGGAGAATAACTAGAAGATTAACAATACGAACACGAAGCATTGCAAGAAGAAAAGTTTGTAGTCGTACTGGAGTCTCAAATTTGAAACCGTCAATACGGTATTGCATCCTTTAAAGTTTTGAGAATTAGTAAAATATTTTGGAGTTTTTTTAAATTATGTTAATTAAAGTTATTTTTATGTGGTTATATTATAGAGAGAATTAAATTATAAATAAAATTTATTTTTAAAATATTTTAAAAGGACCATTCAGAATTACTCAAGAGCAACATCAAACCACGCAACTCAGCCATATTGTTCTTAAATTTAATTTTTGGGTTATTTGAAAATTTAATAAAAACCCTATGGATATAAAATCACAATTTAATTTTTTCCCACTAATTTTTTTGACAGGTGCAAAATAATTAGTGGAAATAATTAAATTTGTATAACATCAATTAAATAAATTAATAAAATTTATAAAAAATTTTTGCCTTGAACTTGCTTGGCACAATGTCTTTCAAAGGGATAAAAAGTTTTTTGTTAACTCCACAACTTTAATTTAAAAAAAATAAAATTAATTTAAAAAAGACAATCGAACTTGTGTGTCACTTCAAGTTCAATTTCTCTAAAATAATCTTCTTCACTTCAAGTTCAATTTTTTTTATAATCAAAAATAATTTCAATTTTTATATTTCCATCTTTTAACTAATTCTCTTCATTTATTTCTTCACTTCATTATTCCCTTCTTTTCTACAAAAACAATACCAACAGAGAACACCAACAACGATAACAAGCCTTTAAATATACTTAATTAATTTAATAAACTTTAAAATTCTTACAAAATAATATTCACAGCAATGAAGGTAATAGTAATGGATTTACGGATTTCTGCATTTCGTGAATGCATGGCAATCTCCTCAGCTGTTATCTCTTTCTCGTTTATTAAAATCCTGTAGTCTTTACCGCTCTGGAAATGAATAAATTTTGAATTTTAAAATAATTTCGGTTAAACTCACAAATTTAATTTCAATTTTGCAATTAGGTCCATTTAGAGAAGAATTCCTTTTAATATTGTTCCCCTCACGTCGGAAAGAAGCCTTTTGCGGGAAAGGTAGAAAGCTAGCAATTGTCTGTATCGAGAATCGAATTGAAGACTTTGATTTTTAATCTCCCAAGCTATTGGTTTAATTAGTTTTTTTTGTACTACGATTATACCATATCGATTTATACATACGAAAGAATGGCATCTCGAGTTGGTTAAATAAAAACCCGTTTCAAAATTCTCTATTTTGAACCAATAAATGCCATCATCAACATGAACATTAATTTCAGACTTTAAATTGTCCACTAGATTTTCACTGGGATGTTCACACACTACTGGCTCACCAACTGTAAATAGATGTATTAAAATTTTGAAGAGAAAAATTTATCTCCTTACTTGGTTGCATGCCAACATGAACTTTATCTCCATTATAAGCCCAACCAAACTCTAATGCACCAGGTTTCAAGCATTCTCCTCCACTTTTGACGCACTCATCCTTCTTATCGCAAGAAATACCCTCCTCGTAGGGTCCTTCCTTAAGCTTTTCAAAACGCTCAATACCAATGCTGTAAGCAAAAGGAACCCTAAATTTAAAAGTTATTCCTTTGAAAAAACAATTTTCTCTCACAAATTAGCATTAAATCCATCGGGCATTGCCTGAAGACATTCTTTAATCTCCTTGTTGTCGTTACTTAAAGTTGCTTTGAATTCGAACATAAAATTGAGAAATTTGTGTCCAATATCAATAGCACATCCAGTCTCACGAACGGTGTTGTAATTAAGAACGCTGAAAGAGGTATACTGATTTTGTATCAATTCCTTTAACTTACATATCCCCATTATCATCAAACTTTACATCACAAGCATTCTCCGTCCCTTTGTAATCCTCTAGGTCCTCGTTGGTTTTTGCAATACGACTTGCTGTGCCAATTCGAGTAATTATATTGTTGACCATAGTGTGACGACCATAACCAACATAAGTAACCTCTTCTGGCATAACACAATTAAGAGAAGTCCAAATAGCCAGGAGAATGACTAGAAGATTAGCAACACGAACACGAAGCATTGCAAGAAGAAAAGTTTGTAGTCGTAATAGGAGGATTTGTTGAAGATTGATAAAATATTTTAAAATTTTAGGCTTTTTATACAGACTTTATTTAGAGTTACTAAATAAGGGCTACATGATTTGTATTTGTTATAAATTATTCATATTTATTTTTAAATTATTTAAATAAAATTTAAGACCCAGAAAAGCGTTGTTCAATAATAGGATGGAGGGCTCTTGTCCAGTTCATGCGTCCCATGAAGATTTATGCGTCCCATTATTCCAATGGATCACACTACCGCGCTACCATCAAATACATAATAGAACACGCTGTTGGTTAATGTAACTAACTTAAGAAGACTAACTTATAGAAGTGAGTTAGTAATTTTTTTGATCAACGATTAATAAACATAAAGTTTGAGCTTGTCTTTGTTCTATAAGGAAGTTGATATAAAATCCCATGCCAGGTGAGGCATTTTACAGAAGCCAAAAGCTTGCCTTACATTGCATTTTATTGGTTTTTATCATTAGATTATACCTAATCTCATCCTTATTCCTTAAATATTTACACAATCTATCCAGACTAAATAAAGATTAACTTAATGAAATGATGTAGCTGATATTAAATAATCTAAGAAGGATTTTTTAAGTAATAATCTAATGAATCTATTTAGATATATTTATTTTAGGCATAAAAATAACTAACATAACAATTACATACTAAATACAAATAATTTTTGTGTGGAAAAAACAAATATACGATCAAAATATTTAGAATAATCAACAACAATTTTAATTTTTATATTTTCATCCTATAATTCTCTTCATTTATTTCTTCACTTCATTATTCCCTTCTTTTCTACAAAAACAACACCAAAGGAGAACACCAACAACACTAGCAAGCCTTTAAATATATTTAAAAATAATTTGAATATATAATCTAAAAATTCTTACAAGACAATATTTACAGTAAGCAAGGTAGCAGTAATTAATTCATCCCCCTTTGAAGTTCGCGAAGATCTTACATAATCCGGTTCATCTGTTGGCGTTTCCTCTTTCTCGTTTATTAAAATCTTGTATTCTTGTCCACTCTTAAATAAAATTTTGAATTAAAAAATAAAACTACTTAATCTCACAAATTTAATTTCAATTTTGCAATTAGGTCCATTTAGAGGAGAATTCCTTTTAATAATATTCCCAACACGTTGGAAAGAAGACTTTTGCGGGAGAAGGTAGAAAGCAAGCAATTGATCGTAATAAGAATCTCCATGACTTTTATCTTCAATTTTCCAAGTTATCGGTTTAATTAATCCTTTCTCGAATATTATTTCATCATGTATTCCTAAACACACAAAAGAATGGCATCCCGAGTTAGACAAATAACAATGCCTTCCAACTTTTTCTATTTGGAACCAAAAAAGGCCATCATCAACACGGACATTAATTTCAGACTTTAAATTGTTTACATGATCATCCTTGAGAGGGCATTGACACACAACTGGCTCACCAACTGTGAAATACAATTAAAATTTAAAGAGAAAAATTATTGTCCTTACCCGATTGCATACTCGCATGGACTTTATCTTCATTATAAGCCCAACCAAACTCTAATCCACCAGGTTTCAAGCATTCTCCGCCACGTTCGCGGCATTCAACCTTCTTATCGCAAGAAATATCCTCTCCCTCGTAAGGTCCTTCCTTCAGCTTTTCAAACCGTTCAGAGCCAATGCTGTATGCAAAAGGAACCCTTAAATTTAAAAGTTTTTTTCGAAGAAATTATTTTTTTCCACTCACATATTGGCATTAAATCCATCGGTGGACATTGGCTGAAGACACTCTTTAATCTCATTGTTGTCATTACTCAAAATTGCGTTAAATTCGAACGCATGACTCAAATATTGGTGTAAAAGATCGATGGCACATCCAGTCTCCCGAACGGAGTTGTAATTCAGAATGCTTAATTAATGTATGTATTAACTTTAACTTTTAACAATTCCTTAAACTTACATATCCCCATTATCATCAAACTTTACATCGCAAGCATTCTCCGTCCCTTTGTAATCTTCTAAGTCCTCGTTGCTATTTGCAATACGACTTGCTGTGCCAATTCGAGTAATTATATTGTTGACCATAGTGTGACGACCATACCCAACATAAGTAACCTCTTCTGACATAACACAATTAAGAGAAGTCCAAATAGCCAGGAGAATAACTAGAAGATTAGCAACACGAACACGAAGCATTGCAAGAAGAAAAGTTTGTAGTCGTAATAGGATTGGAAGAAAATTGATAAAATATGATAAAAATTATAAGCTTTTTATACACCCTTGATTTAGAATTACTAAATAAGGGCTACATGGATTTGTATTTGTTATAAATTATTTATATTTATTTTTAAATTATTTAAATAAAATTTAAAGACCCAAAAAAATTTTTTAAAATTAGAAAAATATTTTAAAAAAATTCATTTTTTCCTTTCAATCATCAGCATTCTTGACGACATTGTCATAAACGGGCTTTCCATGAGGTAATCCTTCTGGAGTCTCAAATTTGAAACCGTCAATACGGTATTGCATCCTTTAAAGTTTTGAGGATTAGTAAAATATTTTGTAGTTTTTTAAAATCATGATAACTAAAATTATTTTTACGTTGTTATATTATTAAGAAAAAAATTTTAAATAAAATTTCTTTTTAAAATATTTTAGTAAATTAAAGGACCATTCAGAATTACTCAAGAGCAACATCAAACCACGCAACTCAGCCATATTGTTCTTAAATTTAATTTTGGGTTAGTTTGTTTTAAAATTTGATAAGGACCCTGTGGAATACTAAAAACACTCAGATTTTTTATAAAGAAACCCTTAAAAAATTTTTGACGGGTGTCAAAAAAATTAGTAGAAATAATTAAATTTTGTAAAAATCAATTTAATAAATTGATAAAATTTTATAAAAATTTGTTTGCCTTGAACTTGCTTGGCACAATGTCTTTCAAAGGGATGGAAAGTTTTTTGTTAACTCCACAACTTTAATTAAATTAAAATAAATTTAATTAAAAAGACAATCGAACTTGTGTGTCACTTCAAGTTCAATTTCTCTAAAATAAGTTTCTTCGGGGTCGGTTCTAAAATTTAATATTAATAAATCTAAAAATATATTTATTTATTTAAAAATAATTTTTTAAATTTTTGTTAGGAGAAAAATAATGGAAATTTTGAGGGAAAAATGTTTAAAATTATTAATTTTTTGAACGATTTCCTATTTTCCCCATCAAATCAAAGTAACGGGTGAAGAGAATCAGAAAACCCTTTTGAATAGCCCCACCCCTTTTCCTTTAAAAATTAATTTCCACGCATACTTAATATTTTATTTTTAATATTTAAAATTTAAAATTTACGTTAATATTCCTTTACAAACTCTGTGGTACAAAACAGCCGCAATTGAGAAGGAAGAGGAATATGCATTTAAATATGCTTGGTATTTAATAGCATTTCCAACATCTTCAATAAGAGAACTTGAGGGATCTTGAGTTGAAACTAGAACGTCGTAGAATGTTTGTTGGGTTAAATTTAAGGTAAGTTCTCTGAAAAAAGATATAGTTTTAAACAGGGCTCTCATTCGTGCTTTATTTGAAAGTATTATACTTTGAAACCGACCTCCATACTTAAGAAATTGAATTTATACTTTATTGAAAGTATATACTTTGAAATCAACATTTTTGATTGAGAATGAAATTGGGGAAGGGATTGGGCAAAAAAGTGAATTTTTTTAGCCTTGGGCCTTCGAAATTATCAAAATTTTCGCCTGCGGCGCTGAAAAAGAAAGAAATCTGGCTTCTTGGGATCCGAATTTCAAAAAAATTTCGCCTGCGGCGCTGAAGATGGGAGAAAGTAATTTGCTTGAGGTTAAGACTGTCAGGGCTTTATTTCTTGTATCAGCGAATTTTGACATGTCATGCGTTGAAATGCACAAAATGCTCAGTGGAAGCAAGAAATTATTAGAAAAGATTCATTTAGGAGAGAAATATAAAAGATTTGAGCACGAATAAATATTCTCTAATTTAATTTGGAGTATACTTTAAATTTGGAAATTTTCTCCCTATATACTTTTTTATCAAGATTTTGATACTTTTGAGTGGCATTTTGTCGATGAGAGCCCTGGTTTTAAATAATTATGTACATGTCTTTGTAAGGAAAACATTGTAAGGTTGATTCAACTAGAGCATTTAAAACGCTTAGACGGGAGTTAAACGATCTAAAAGGATAAAAGAAAAAGCAGTAGTCATCGCCCCGGTAGCTCAGAGGTGGAGCTCCTGTATATGGTGAGCGAAAGCCCCTAGCAATAACTGTCAAGAGGTCGCAGAATCCTGCTTTGTGGCAGGATTCTTTCTACACAATGGGAAAGCACATAGAAATTCTTCTTAAACTCATACTACTTTGCCTTTAAGAACACTAAAAAATATTTTTCTAAACTAACCCAGCAACATTTTTAGTTTCAGCGCAACTTGTAAATTTTGATCCTTGTTTCCAAGCATGTTTAAGTTGAATTGTTATTTCACTATCATTAGTTGGATGGCTATCGGAAGTACACAAAATACAGCCATCAATCATTAATAAAACAACATCTTTAAATTTATTTAAGGATTTTGAATAGTTTTTGGGAAATTTATAATTTT